TTCATCTAACTCCGAAGGTTCAAGAAAAAACAGGTCAGTTTGCTCACAGGGAAGGAACATGGTACTAAAGGCACTGCCGTTGTGTTGATGGAGACCTCTGGTTATCAAATACTGCCCGCTAACCTACCTGTTCACTGAGTCATCTGAGAAAGCAGAGGCGTAATGATGCACACAAAAGAAATGTGCCCTAAAGAATTGTTTCTTAATTTTTTTAAATTTCCATTAATATGGTAACATTATTTACATTAAATCATTTTAAATGTCTTTTGTTGCACAAAAGGTATTGATAGGTAACAAAGTGCCCAACTTTTCCAATGAACTAATCATAATGGAAAATGGTATCTATAAAGATTACTGACTTGCATTTTAACCAATCCAGTGAACAAAATGATCTCCTTACATTACAGCAGTCATATATTTACTATGTCCTAAACATCTACATAGCACTCTACTAACTCTTGTCTATCAAGGATCACAACTTCTGGCTCCTTTCTCCCTAGCATATTTTTTTTCCAACTGGATCATTACTAATCTCATCCTGTCATCTGAGGCCCTCCTGAACTTCATCTAGAACTTCATTTACCTTTGGAACTACTCAAAAAAGTACATATGAGAAAGGCATTTCAACTCCTCAAATAACCAGATTCCCATATTGGTCATGCATTAGTGACTTTCTTTTACTGCTGCTCTAGAAATCCTGAGTAAAAACTGGCTGCTCCTCTTTAGGGGACATGTCATAATCTAAAGGTCAACAGGAAAATTAGACACATATGAAAGTAACCATAGACAGCTGGAAAGGCATGGTAGAAATACGTATAATCTTTAACGACAGTAAGCAGATGAAGACAAAGATATTTCTCCCAAACCAAATTAAGTAAAAGTATTTCCCCAAACTATATTGGTTTTTCTTGAGTGATGGCAAGTTCAGTAATAGCTACAGTTTCCCACAATGTACTTCCTCAAATAGTCCTCAGACACCAGTTTCCGGTATCTGGCTACAGATCTACAGACACGACATGCAGTCTCAGCATTAACACCCAGTCACTATGATCCATGCCATCAGAGGGCTCAAACCTCACCTTGGCTGGCAGCCACTGGGCCCTGCTCTTCAAGAGGAAATGACAGGTCTGATGAGTATCAGACCCATTCTAACAATACAAAGAAAGCAGAGAATCAAAGTGGGAGAAAATGGAGGCAGGGTGTGTGTTGTGGGGGGGCGTGGGGGGGGGGGGAGAAGCAGAGATGAAGTAAAAAAAGGGAATATAACTTACAATACCTACATTATTGTTACTACTGTTATACTATCATGCTGATGAATTAGACGACTTGCAGATTAAAAAGTGACCACTTGGAACTCCAGTAAAGAGTCAGTAATAAAACAGGATTACATCACTAAAATCTACTTATATTGCCTTGCACGCGGTCAACTCAGTAGGCTCAGGTTCAATTCCTCCGCCCCTCTCGGAGAGCCCGGTAAGCTAATCAAATCAATGAACAACAGGAGGACAGTGCAGTGCAGTGCATTCTTTTTTGGGGGAGAAAAAAAAATTAACACTTAAATGCTAAAGCTTTTCACATTTTTTTAATTTTCTTCAAAAGATAACTCTCATCCTGATATATTAACTTATTAACAGAAAATATAATTTTCTGTAAGTTAGTCATAAAAGTTTCTATGGGTTTTCAATCAAGTATTGGTGAATAAAAGAATTTTTGATTTTTCTCATTTGTTTGTGGTTTGGTTGGTTAGTTTTGGCCCACACCAGGCAGTGCTCAGGGCTTATTGTGGTCTCTATTCTCAGGGACCACTCCTGGCAGTGCTAGGGGGACCCTTTTGCAGTGTTGAGAACTCTACCTGGGTCAATGTCATGCAAGGCAAGTACCATCTCTCCAATCCTTGAACTTTAACTTCCAGAATTTTGCTTCCAGAAACACAGTAACTTGGTTCTCCAGGAGTAAGTAAATCATAAAAGAAGGACTCGTTTTATATATATATATACATATATATGTACATACATATATGTGTGTGTGTATGTGTGTGCTTTATTTCACACCATCCCCAAATAAGCTAAGACTTTTAAATTGAATGCTAAAAAAAAGAAAAACTGGATGGGAAAAGGAACAAATAGTCTAGTGTCTATATAGTCCCTTAAAATCATACTAAAAAGATAGCAGCAAAGAGAAAAAATAAAACTGATTTAATAATGACCCAAAATTACAGAGGCAGAATATACAACATGAGCAATCACAGGAAATAAACAAAAGTCATTTTAAAGAAATTAAAAATGTGTCCTCCAAAGACAAAGACACAACATTAAAAAGCAAATGGAAGAAAATAATACAGACAAATCCTCCAAATTTAAGCAATTAATAGTGATATTAGTAACAAGACAGATTTTAAGGTACTATCTGGTGATATACAGAAATACCAAAAAGAAAATCAGAGATATTAACACATCTCCCTTAATAAAAATAGACCAGATCTGAAAACCTGTGTCAATCATGAAAAGGTAACATGCTTTTTCAAATTCAATAAGAACAACTACAAATACTGACTTTATATTAGTCTATGAGTGTTAATACAACAAATCTTATTTAAATCACATTCTAGTCATAATGTAGTAAAACAAAAAATGTGAAAAAATACATGACTTGCTTTGCCAATAAGATTTAAGTTAAAATAATATATACCATTTCAACGCAGAGGACTTAAAAGCTGTAACATGGTTCTACCATGTTGTTGTTGTTTTTCTCCCCACTAATAGTAAGACCAGACTGACCCAGGGAGAGAATTCCAATCATGGTCCAAAAACCAAAAAGACAAGCAACAGAGGCATGGCAATCTACCAAGACTATGTAATACAAGCAAAGTAAATAAACCATTGTTAATAATGAAATTTCAAGGTTGATAGTGCAGCATAAATTAGTAAAAGTTGATGCGAGTAAATTAATGTAAAATTAAAATACTTAAGACTTAAAATACTTCAGTGTGCCTTGTACATGCCTGGTTCAATCCCCAGCAATTCATATGGTCCCCCAAGTACCAATAGGAGTAATTCTGTGTGCAGAGCCAGAAGGAACCCCAAACAAAAATCAAATAAACAAGAACGATAAAAAGAGAGCAAGAAAGAAGTGTTTAAAATCACTGTCACAGTCACTGTCCTCCCGTTGTTCATCAATTTGCTCGAGCGGGCCCAGTAACTTCTCCATTGGAGACTGTGTTGTTACTGTGTCTGGCATATCGAATACGTCACGGGTAGCTTGCCGGGCTCTCCGAGAGGGGCGGAAGAATCGAACTCGGCTCGGCCATGTTGGCTGCGTGCAAGGCAAATGCCCTACCGCTGTGCTTTTTTAAGTAACTCCTTCAATGCTTTCTTTGTTAGGAAAAAATTTAAAACATGTGGCAAAATAGCACTGTAGCACTGTTCTCCCGTTGTTCGTCAATTTGCTTGAGCGGGCACCAGTAACATCTCCATTGTGAGACTTGTTGTTACTGTTTTTGGCATATCGAATACGCCACAGGGAGCTTGCCAGGCTCTGCCGTGTGGGCTAGGGATACTCTTGGTAGCTTGCCAGGCTCTCCAAGGGAGACAGAGGAATCGAATCCAGGTCAAAATAATGTTAAAAATTTTATAATAAAGACATTTCTCTACTTATTGGTTACTAAAATTATGAATTAGAACAATAAAAATTGGGTTAAACCCTAAAGCACACAAGTCCACCCTTAAGGTTTGCTGATTTAAAAACTTGAGAGATAAATTAGGTAACTCTCTGGTCTGCATATGACACTAGTTTCTTTCTTCAATTTGGCAAATGGTTGGGCACATGACTCAAAGTCACATAACAAGGTTGGGTTCTAAGTATAAACTCTGTACTTCCAGGACAGGAATATAAGAGATAATGTGGTAAAACAGAGTGACCAAGAAAGGTCACACCACCACTTGTTCCTTACTGTTCTCTACCAAGACTTAATCTGTCTGCCTTTCTCTCTCCTTCCCTCTCCTTTGATATTCTCACTCTCCCTCTGTCCCTCCCTTTCCCTCCCTTCTCTTTCCTCTCCCTACTCTCCCTCTCCCCCCACCCATCTCAGTTTCAAGGATTTTTAATCCACTGTCTCCTTTTCTTAAAGCTGAAATATCAGAATAATAACTGAATGTATAACACAGTCATAGAGTAATAAAAAAATGAGAGGCATGGATCATGAATGATTTATTTTAGTTCAATGGTCAATTTCATGGCCACCAGAATCAAAATGTTGTAGTCAGAATATCTGCCACTATCACTGTGAAATTTTGGGCATGTTACTTAATCTCTTGAAGTATTAAAATTCTCTCTAAAACACTGGAGATAGCCACAATAATCTCTACCGCATATAGAATCTTACAAGCATTCATGAGATAATCTAATCACAGGTCCTCACAGAGCTCTTAAGTACACTAGCTATTAGAATATACCATGTGAATATTATTTATGAAAAGCAACCAAATACTTTCATATACAATTTTAAACATTAGATATTTTTTCATTACACTGACTTCCATAAGCATCAGCATTTCATAAATCAATTTCTTAACTAAAGGAAATTAAATGAGAAATTTTAAATCAATACGTGCCTCAAGATAAAAATACTTCAAGTCCAACTTCTAAATCTAAAGTGTCAGCCAGGCACTACTGTTTCTTCTCAAGTGAGTCATTGATAGCTAGAGGTAATATCCAAATTAATTAATGCTCTTCAGAAAGACACCAGCCACTACACATGACCAGTTCAGATCAGCAGAACATAGGCCCTAAGGGCCAGGAAATATTACTCTTAATGAAAATAATGACGTTCTTCTATGTTTTCTGGGTATTTTTAAATAAAAATTGCCAGCGACTAGCTTATAGGACCTTGGAAAGAAGCAATAATATATTCATGGTGCCATTCCCATAAATAAAGGCACACCATTGCAGTTGATTTTCTTTGACAAACCAAGGAAAAGGCTCCCATTAACTCCCTCACTCACCTCCAGGTCACAGCTGTATTCGGTGCCATCTAGGAGGGTCACCTTACACAGGACAGTCTTGGTCTTCTTGGTGACTTTCTGGGAAGTCTTCTCCACTTTCACCTCATTGGTCTGCACTTCCTTTGTCTCTCTTTTGGCTGCTTCTCCTTCAGGTTTGTCTTCCTGTATATCCTTGAACTTCTCCTCTTCTCCTTTCTTTTGCCCAGCTTCAGCAGGCTGTTGGGGGGAAACATTTAGGTCATACTAAAGTTACCAATGAGATAATACATTCAAAAAAACTACTTTTGACAAACCATGAGTGCTGCTCACAATAAATTCCAACAAGTTAAAAAAACTTTAAGATTTTGGCAAAAAGGACATTTCCCCCACATCATTTCTCCCTCCATTCACTAAATGGGATTTTCTTATTTTACCAGTTTGGCAATTTCAGCTTTACAGGTGTTTAAAAAAAAAAAAACAACCACAAGCTGGTAACCATGGTTACCATGGCAATGATGACTTAAATATTATTTCTAATAATAAATGTTCCAATTAAAGTCTCATATACCAACCTAAACTTCACTAAGCAACCAAAATGAGCATACAAACCCCCACAAACTCTGGTTGTTAACCACTCACTGAACAACGGTAAAACAGGTAATAACATGTATACTATTTAAAAGGTGGTGTACACGTTAGGTAGGTGTAGGTGGCAGGATTTTGAAGGTTTCTGTTAAATCTCTAAAAACATCAATATTTTTACAGTTTCCATATCTGGTAAGGTTTTTTTTATTATTTTGAACTTTTTCTCCCCAAACGTAAGACCAATCTAAGACCTAACCCCATCTTCCAAATACATCAAGTCAAAACAGTATCTTACTATACACAATCTCGAAATGATTCAAAATAAATCCCCTTGGTCGTAGGGTTATGCTATCAAGATCTCGCTTCCAGAGAGACCCTTCCCAAACATACCTGTGTCTCAGGACTGCTCATTGCAGTTTTTTCTTCCTCAACCTTTGTTTCCTGCTGTTTCCTTGAAGCTATTTCTTCAGCATCACCCTTCGCCTGCCTTTCTTCCTCAGAAAGAGACTCCTCCTTATCCGGAATCTGTTCTTCCACAACAGCTTGGCTGGGCTCTTTTTTATCTCCTCCATCTTTGGCCACAACTAAGTTGTAGGACTTCTGCTTCTTAAGCCATGGAGGTATGAATCGGGAAATCCCCCTGCTCTCTGATGGATCCTTCTCTCTCTTCTGGCGGCGGCGTGGACTACTTTGGCTCTCAGCTGGAGGAGATGGTTCGGTTGACTGATTCTGCTTTTCTGTTACTTCATTAGGTTTCTCCTTGGCGGCATCTGCTCCCAACTGATCAGGTTCTTTCTTGACTTCAGACGCAGAACCCACCTCTGTAGTCATGATCGGAGCTTAAGCTGTAAATAAAACAAAATCACAAAAGGCTTGTAAAACAAACTCCCAAGTTTGGTTAGAGGCAAAGAACAAAGGTAAGAAGGGATGAGAAGAGGAAAGTCAGAGTAATGACAGGAAAGAAAAGAAACAGAGGAAAAGAAGGTTCATGGTTCATAGGGCCAAGAGAAAATGAGACTGCTTCTCTGTAACTGCCCAGAATTCTTTATCAGACTCACAGAACCAAAGCTGGCATCATAATAGGACTAGAATTCTGAGTGCCTCCTATCACTCTAGGAGGTTTTAGTTCTTACTTGATCTTAACTAGCTGTAATCTAATTTTATATGGAAAAATCATTGTCTCTGTACCAAGTATGCCTTATTCTACATAAGAAAATTGATTGTAGAAAGTGCAATTTCATAAACAAAAAAGCCCAACTCTACAAAAAAATATTAGATATTTTAAGTGTTGGATAATTTATAGCAAGAAAATTAAAGCTGGAATTTTAAGTTTTCTCTTTTCCCCCAATTTAAATTCTATAATTTGCTATCTCTAGTCCAATACAAAAGCCCATCTTCTGAAAAAGGTAGTCATACTATATTCACAACTCCAAAACTCCGTATTATTCTATCTCAAATAGTTTTTCTTTTTTTTTTAACTTTTTTATTGAATCTCTGTGAGAGAGACCATTATAAAGCTGTTCATGATTGGATTTCAGTCATATAGTATTCCAACACCCATTCCTCCACCAACGTACATTTCTGAGCACCAGTGTCCCCAGGTTCCCTCCCATCACCCCCACCCCCTGCTTGCTTCTAAGGCAGCACTCTCTCTCTCTCTCTCTCTCTCCCTCCCTCCCTCCCTCCCTCCCTTCCTCCCGCCCTCCCTCACTCCCTCCCTCCCCCCCCTCCCCTTCTCTATCCTCCTCCCTCCTTCCTTTTGGGCACTGGGGTTTGCAATATTGATACTGAAAGGTTATCAAGAACATCCCTTACCTACTTTTAACCCTCAGATCTTGTCCAGCGTAATTATTCCCAGCTATTATTGTCATAGCGGTCTCTTCTCTATTTTACCAACCCCTAACCCCACACATAATTGTGGTTAGTTCCAACCACTGACCAGTCCTCCTAAACCCTGTTTTTGCTGGTCATGGATATTATTCTTCATATATATATGTATGTATGTATATATAATGGTTTTCTTTGAGTGTTATTATATAAAAAAAAAACTACAGCCTTCTAACCTAAACCAAATATAATGGCTTATCCTTTCAATGTATCAAAACAAAGTTTATACTAATTGCAAAATAACTAGATGTCTTTTACACAGCAATAAGGGACCTTGAAAGTGTAGCAACCTAATGAGAAAGAAGATAGACCGCATAATGGCAAGTGCAGATCACAGATTCTCTTTCTTGCCAGGGGTAAAATGTACTCAAAAGCCTGATATCCTGATATACAATAGACATTTCCCAGCAATATCAAAAGTAGTAAAAACTTGAGCCCTTCAAAAAATAAAACACATTTGTTTTAAAGCCCTAATAATTCACACACCATAAAACCATTTTAAATCACAGTTAGCAGTTTAGAGTAATTCACAGGCTATACAATATTCACCACTATCTAATTCTAGAACATGTTCACCATCCCAAAAGGAAACCCTTTATCATCTATTAGGTTACTTATCAGTATCCCTTCCACTCTACCACTGTCTTCTATTTCAGTACACAGATTTGCCTACTTTGGACATTACAAATAACTTAAATTCTGTAACATATGGCACCTTCGCTTAAGAATTCAAATTTCACCCATTTGTATCATGGATCAATACTACACTTGTTTCTTAAAATTTTATCCAACATTTTTTGCGAGTCATATTTGATAGCTATCACAATATAAACAAGTGGTATATAAAGACAAAAATATTTAATGGACAAAGAATTTAAGTAGATATTTTTCTAAAGAAGATAGTATATTCCTAATAAATATTCCAAAGAATGCTCAAGACCAGCGTTTTTTAACAGGGAACCATATGGCCCCCATGTGGGCCCCCAGAATATTCCTAGAAGACGAAATGGCAAGATAAGAGGGCAGAAGGAAGAAAAAGGGATCACACTCAGAAAAAAGTTTGAGCAACTTTGTTCTACAGCATTAGTTATTGAAGAAATGGAAACCAAAACTACAATGTGGGGGCCAGAGAGATAGCTCAAAGGGCAGGATCAATCCTCAGCACTGCACAGCCCCACCAGGGTCAACAGTTATCACTGAAAGCGACCCCCAGTCCCCTGAGGTATTTCTTGGGGTCCTCCGAAATTATTCTATGTCAATATACACCCATCAATGTGCCTATAAATAAAAAGAAAGAGCAACTAATATTGGTGAGGGTGCAGAAAGATTTAAGCTAACAACGTAAAATGGTGCAGCCATCTGACAGTTCCTCAAAATGTTTAAAAAGCTGGCATCACATAAATATATATTAAGAAAATATGGGACATTTTTCACATTAAAACAAATAAATGAATGCTCAGAATATCATTTATAATGTAAAAATAATGCTCATCCAACTGATGAATTTATAAACAAAATGTGATGTCTATATAGTGCAATATTGTTAAGCCACAAAAAGGGATGCAGTACTATGAATATGGAGCCAGACAAATCTTAGAAACATGCTAAGAAAACAGACACAACAGACACCACCCCCACCCCCCAAATATATAGAATTGGGGCAGAGAAACAGTGCAGGAAGGAAGATTCTTGTATGTGGTCAACCCAAATTCGCTCCCCAACATCACAAATGGTGCCCGAAAGAACTCCAGGGTCATATCTGAGCACTGAGGCACAATACTTGTGGACCAATAGGTGTGACCCAACCCCCAGCCCCCAAATTTTGGAATAAGCAAATCCACAGAGTCAGAAAATAGTTAATAGCTGCAAAGGGTAGGAAAAGGGGGAAAATGGAGATCAAGGACTCCTGGTTGTATGATTTCTTTGGGGGTGATACAAATATTCTGGAATTAAGACAGTAGTGATGGCTATACAAGCCAGTGAATATATTTTAAAAACACTGAACTATAAACTTTAAAATGTGATAGTTGGGCCAGAAAAATAGTCCAACAGGTAGGGTGTTGGCCTTACATTCAGCCGACCAGGGTTTGATACCTCGCATCCTATATGGTCCCCTGAGCCCAACAGGAGTGATCCCTGAGCACAGAGTCAGGAATAAGCCCTGAGCAGAAACAAATGTGGCCCCCAAATAAATATATAATAAAAAATAAAAGGTGATATCTCAATAATAAAGTGATAAATGCTATTCACTTCAAAATGCATTAATATTAATTTATTAATATTAATTTAGTTTATCAATCTTTAAGTCACTCCTTACAATACGCCAAATACTGGGCAAAGAATATTATTTTAAAAGAGCTGAGAGAATTTGGTGACAGATAAGTCAACTGTCAAAAGCAGAGGACAGAGACTCTAGGCAGGGCAGATGGTGCGAGGGTCTTTTGCACATGCTCTGCAAGCAGGAGGCTTGGGTTTGATTCCTGTCACCACACAATCCCTTGAACAATCTAATCTGGGAGTATCCTCTGAGCATCACTGGGTGTGGTTCTCCCTCAACTAAAGAGAGAGAGGAAAAAAATTTAAATAACTCAAATTGGACAAAGTGAGTCCCTGAGCAAGCCTCTGTGCAGAAGGTGACATCTGAGTTACTTTAAATGGACCAGTACTCATTATTTAGGAAAGGCGGGGTGACACTGCACAGGCGTACAAAGCGTGAACACCTGAGAATATCCCTTCTGAGCCATAGCACAGTGGGTAGGGCGTTTGCCTTGCACGCGGTCTACCTGGTCAGCCCAGGTTCAATTACTCCACCCCTCTCAGAGAGCCCAGCAAGCTACCGAGAGTGTCTCGCCCGCACGGCACAGCCTGGCAAACTCCCCGTTACATATTCGATATGCCAAACACAGCAACAAGAAGTCTGACAATGGATATGTTATTGGGCCCGCTCAAGCAAATTGATGAATGGGAGGACAGTAACAGTGATAGGAAACCACAATAGTACACTGTAACATGTGAAGTGAAGGCTTAAATTGAGGATAGAAATGAAGGTAAACTGGTATTGAGGAAGTAGGAAAAGTAGTCAGAAGCCAGAGTAAATTTTTGTGTATCATGCTAAGAAAGGGCTGGATGATTGATTGAAAGACAATGAGAGGTCATACAAGATCTTCTAAGTTGAAGAGACATAAAACCAGATTCACATTTCAGAGAACAACCTGACTAAGAAGTACAGAATGACAGAAGGACTGAAATAGAATGACATCTAGGAGAATATGCAATAATTCAAGAATGAGATCATGTTTCAATACTATGGAAGCAGCAAATTTGCTCACTTCTAAACATTAAGAAATAAATTTTGTGGTAAAGATAATATCAGACATGACTTGTTATCTATAGGGGAAACAACAAATGAAAAAGAGGAAAGAATATATAAAACAATGGCAAGTTGATGAGAGTTAAAAAGAATAGTCTATAAGGAAAAAAATTCTCTGAAGGAAAATAAAAGGTAGTAATTCACTGTGATTACAAAGTTTGTGAAGGTTGTATAGTGAGTCTTTATGAAAGGCAGATTAGAGAAATAAATCTGAAAGTTTTCTTCATATAGACAAAAAGCACAAATAATACTATCACTAAAGAGGAAAAGTGTTTCGGTTTAGAAGATACTGAAAAGAACCCTTATCACTATTACCATTTAAGGGTCAGGCAGAAGAAAACGCATGTGGGCAAGAAGAAAATCATAGATCTTCTGATCTCTGAAAATAAGATCAGATAGTAAAATCCCTGAGGACAATGGCTTTCTCAAAAAAGGGAAATAGGTAACTGAAATAGAAAAGTGGTCAATCTTTTCATTTCTAAGCAATTAAAATTCAGAACCAGGTCTTCCAAAAGGAACCATAAATAAGTAAACTGGTTCCAAATTACATAGAAAAACTTTTTTTCAACTTCCATGGCCCACTTAAGA